AAACTAAGTCACGGAGTGATTCGAATTATGGTGTATTATCAAATGGCCAAGAAATAGCCGTTAAGAGATTATCCGAGAACTGAAGACAAGGTGACATAGAATTCAAGAATGAGGTTGTATTGTTGGCCATGCTTCAACACAGGAATTTGGTTAGACTTTTGGGCTTTTGCCTAGAAGGAGCTGAGAAACTTCTCGTCTACGAATTTGTGCAGACTGCGAGCCTAGACAAATTTATATTCGGTAAATATGATCACTACATTTTAACTCTTTTCGTCGAGTACAGATTTTTGTTCACAACTAATACATTCATCTTAAAATCGAAATTCATTCGGTACGTGTAGACCCCGTCAAACGTTCTTATCTTGATTGGGAAAAACGCTACAAGATTATAGGAGGCATAGCTAGGGGAATTTTGTTCTTGCACGAAGATTCTCAGCTCAGAATCATTCACCGTGATCTCAAACCTAATAACGTTCTTCTAGATGGTTCTATGAACCTAAAAATCGCAGATTTCGGCATGGCAAGGCTATTTGAGCAAGAAGAGACTCAAGGAAACACGAGCAGGATTGCCGGAACATTGTAAGGCCTAACGCGTGGTGTTCACAATAATCTCACTCACTCACTCACAATTATTCTTTTCACATTGCAGTGGATGTATGTCCCCAGAATAAGTGATGCACGGACAATTTTCGATAAAATCCGATGTCTTCAGCTTTGAGGTGCTACTCCTAGAAATCATTAGTGGCCAGAAAAACAATTGCGTTCAGCAAGGAGAGAACATAGAAGGCCTCTTGAGCTTCGTAAGTACGAGTTTTTTTTTCGAACCAATTAATTTGTATCGTACTATAATTTTTTAATTGAAATTGGTTATACCAAATTATTACACAGGCCTGGAAGAATTGGAAAGATGGGACAGCTGAAAATTTGGTGGATCCTTGCTTGAGGTCTTGTTCGGGTACAATTCGTGACATGGTGAGATGCATTCACATTGGTTTACTATGCGTGCAAGAGAACCCCACTGAACGACCAACAATGGCTTCTGTTGTGCTAATGCTCAATAACAGCTTCTCTGTAACTTTGGCGGCGCCTGCAGAACCTGCATTCTATATGGGGTTTGAGTACAAAAGCTCTTCTAAGGGAAGTATACAAATTCAATCTGATAATCCTTCGAGAAATGATGCCTCGATCTCGAGCTTATATCAACGTTGATCTGCGTCATGATGAGAAATGCTATGATTGGGGCTTGTTAGATTATTTTTCATTGTCTGAATGGAATATGTTGGATTGGAGTAAGTTGGTTAGAATATAGGAATGTTGTGTGTTGTAAAATAATTTCCCAGGTGCGCAGTTGTAAAATTGTAAATGTAAAATGCACAAATTCAAGGATAAAAAATTCAACCCAATGGCTCTTGGACAAAAAATTCATGCGAAAAATCGATAAAAATGGCCATCAAGTCGGGCTCAAGATACTACGGCTGGCCGGTATCAAGGATTATGAACAGGGGAAATGTTTGTATAATTCCCTTGTCCCTTGTTTCTACTGTGATTTGATATAGATTATTTTGTGAAACATTGATTGGGTAAATTGAGTTGAAATTATTCGTTGAGTCGAAAAAATAATAATTTTGAATTTATGAATGAATATGAAATAAAATGTAATTATTAAAGTTGAATATAATATTAAAAAAATTGTATCAGTTAACAATACCAAAAATTTTGTATGTCTTGTAGCATAAGAGTTTGTGGTCATTAGGAAAATATGGGAGCTCGACTTGTAGCTGTTGGACCCCGACGACAGGATGTCTTCACTATAGTCTTTTTTTTTCTTTTTTTCTTTCTTTTTTTTCTTCTAATTACGCTTTCCAATCGTGTATGTCTGACTGTTATTTATTTATTTATTTATTTTTGTGCAGATGTGTAAACTAGTAGTCCTATTACAATATTACAATTATTGTCGAAATTACATTTCACGATTTTCATTGCCAAATTATTTTAGGAAATAATTCCTTGTGCTTCTACTCCACAGATCACAAATCATATTATTATTATCCCATTTATTTTGTGCCTGGGAATAAAGAAACAAAAAAAAAATGTCTAGGATCTTATTGCTCTTCTTCCTTGTCTTAAACATTCTTGAGTTTCAGACACAACTCCTCCAATTGGCGGCACAACCAGGTTCCTTCATGTGCCTGAACAACGGCAACTATACAAGAAACAGTGAATACGCCAACAACCTCAACTCCCTACTCTACTCCGTACCCAACAACGTTGGCCAAGACGGCTTCTACCAAGACTCTGTTGGGTGGGGTGGCCCAGACACTGCCAACGTAGTTGCTCTCTGCAGGGCCGACGTTCAGCTTGCTAGGTGCCGAAGCTGCATTCGCAACTGCATACCTTATCTTCAGACATCATGCCCCGGTTACAGACAGGCTTTCGGCTGGGCAGACAACTGCATGCTACGTTACTCAAACGAGACCCTAACTGGGACTGTGGATGTGCGCCCGACTTTGTTTATGTGGAATACTCAGAATGCCACGAGCCCTGACCGATTCATGAAGGACGTGAAGAGCCTATTGATCAACATCACAGACCAGGCGGCTAACAGCACTCGGAGAATTGCAGCTGCCAACATGACGGGTCCTGATTTCCAGTACATCTTTGCACTGGTCCAGTGCACACCGGATTTGGGTCCGGACAACTGCAATAGATGCCTTACGGAGATTTATTCGGACGTGCGGGATTGCTGTGACAGGAGGAGAGGGGCCAGAGTGGTGGCACCCAGCTGTAGTCTTCGCTACGAGGCTTATCCCTTTTATAACATAACTCGGATTCAAGAGTTTGCGACTTCCTCAAACGGTAATTGCCAATTTTATGACTCTTTCTGAAGTTTTACTTTTGCTACAGACTGAGTGTTTTGATTTTGTGTGATCTGCTCTCGCACCTCGAACCAGCTCTCTAGCGATCTTGGTCCAACTTGCTCCCTGGAGACCTACAAAGACGCCGAGAGGTGTTCCCGGCGTTAAACCTCAGACGATCAAGTCAATAAAGGGTTATAGAAAGTTGTATTAAACTATCTGGAATATTTTAGAGTATAGAGTGTGATTAACCTTACATTCTTCTCAATCTCACTATTTATAGATAGCTATTCACTTCCTGCACACGCTTTGTTCTTGTCCGATCATTTATTCCTTTTTTATCCTGACTCTACACGTGTCCCTCATGGACAACCTGTACTCAACTGCCTCTATAGGTCGGCTCTTAGCTATAAGATGCCTCTGTAGGTCAGCTCCCTACTACATGATGTCTCTGCTATGCTATATCGAGCTCAAAACTCTTACCTAGCACTGTCAAAACGGGTCATGGCCCGCGGGCTGTCCCGTCCATCCGCCTAAATGGATGGGCTTGGGCCTTTGCTTGGCCAGCCCGTTCAATCGCGGGCCTATTTGGCCCGCCCCGTTCGGCCCGCGGTCTAAAGCGGGCTGGCCCGTTTTTTTATTATTTATTTATTTGTTAATTTTATATTATTTAAATTTAGTATTTCTTATTTTACTTCTATAACTATTTATAAAAAAAATAAAAATAAAAACTGGATGACAAATATTTAACATCATTACACATGAAGTCTTACTAGTTTATTAATATACTAGTAAATATAAGGATAAACAAATCAAAAAGTATATGAGAGTGCATAATACCAATAAACCCACGGGAGGACCGATTTAGCCCGCGGGCTAATGAGGGCGGGCCACGGGCCATGGATTTCCCAGCCCGTAGAAATGCGGGCCATTTTGGCCCGCCCCGTTTGAACCGCGGGCCGGAGCGAGCCGAACCAGACCGGCCCGTTTGACACTGCTACTCTTACCCATCAAGCCACACACAGCCCGAGCTACTTCTGTGTCGAACTACTAATTCATTTGGGCCTCATAAAGCCGAGCTACTCTTATGCCTAGCTAATGTCTCTGCCCTAGCTACTTATGTGTCGAGCTATCCACATTAATAACCGAGCTATTGATATCGCTGAGCTGCTTCTAAACCTGTCGTCCTAGTAACTCTGGTCCACAAGACGAGCTAGCCTTGATCGATTTTACCGAGCTATTTTTTGGTGCTATATCAACGTGAGTATCCTATGAAGTGTACGGTTCAGTTCTTACAAGTTGAACTAAAAACAAAAAATGATATTACAAACTGAAAGCGTAAAGACAATAGCCAGGGAGAGTGTTGCTCTTTCCACAAGAAGAATAGGTCTAGTAATGTGCTGACGTGTTCAGGCCTCTCGTCTCCAAGTATGCAACGGGTGGCGTCTCGAAACTGTATCAAACCAGACTTTCAAGCCCCGACGAACTTGAACGTAGCGAGAACCTAGCACATGTATGTTATGATGCGTGAGACTATGGAGTATGTAGATGATCAGTGTGTTATGTGTTATGACTGTGTTATGCAACTCTAAACCATGTCTATGACTTTCAGCTAGTTGGGGATGATCATTAGTCTTCAACCAGAAAAATTTGGTCAGGTGTCAATCCTGTCATTTTCAAGTGTTAATATACCACTACTCCACCTTGACAGTCAAGTGGAGTCAACACATCCTAAGTTCAATGTATCTAGAGAGGTCTCACACGAGTTGGGTCAAAATTTGAGTCTAAACCCAGCTCGGTTTGGATTTTAACTTGAGCCTCAATTTTGCAAATAAATTTACAACAAAAAGATTATAGGGACTGAGCCAAAGGTCCAAGCCCAACAACGGCTGAGACCATCCAAGAATCAAGGTGAAGGCCAAGGCCTAGGCCTGAGACGAGCCGAGCTAGACAATGACCGAAATCATCACCAACAATTGGTGCATAAATTTGTTGTTGTATTGACCTCTCCAACTCTTTTTATTATAATTATGAGTATTCATATTATTAAAGAATAAAATGTGGGAAATGACTCTTGGCCATTCGGATTTTAAAACCAACATTACGTGTCCACTTGGACTACTTATTTTTCACTCGCCAAAAATTATTTTTGAGAAAATAAATATAGCACGAATATCTACTCAAAATGTAGAATTTTTCTACACAATTTAATTCAACTCAAATTAAATATTTAGTAATAAAAAAATATCAATCAAAATTGGGTCAACCCAATTTTTTCATAATTGATTTCCCTAACTTTCCCCTGTTTCTTCCCCTGCAAACCAACAAGTTTATTTCCTAAAACAGCCGCCTTCTGTACGCGTATCCACAAAAATCATCGTACGAGTTCTTCTAAATTTTTATCCATTTATCCATTTTTTTTTTTCATCTCCGAATCCAACTAGTAGTGAGCGTGATAGGAACCGTACTTGGAGAGGTGCTGCTGTGGATTTTTCATCCCTTAGTAACTTTTATTGTTCTGTGTAATCATGTTATGCCACCATGAACTTAACATTTGGGGAGAAAAAGAAGTGTGATGAAAATGTTGCGTAAATTACACGAAGCCTGGCTGCAATCTTCATTACTAGAAGTATTCCTTCTATATTTGACTGTAGTGTAGTATTTTTATAATACAACCAACAGATTTGTTTT